ATTCAATGCTGTCTGTAGTAGCCTTGCATCGCTTTGTAGACTGCATCTCGATCTCAATACTAACTGATTTTCAGATTCACTATAGAGTTCGAAATACACAGCATCAAAAGTCACGCTTAATGAACGTAAAATTATGAAAATTTTCGTGTCTATTGTGCTGGACAAAAGTATTCAAAGTACTATATTTGGATTTCTTTGAGCTCCTGTGGGTTGTGCCTTTGCAGAACTATCTCTCTTAATAAATTCTGATTATGGCCACAAATTGCGACCCGATTGTATTTCTTTTTCAAGAGCTGTATCTGGACTTTTTCAGCTGTCATTTCTCATACGAACTACAGGTATTGAGACTGCTTCAGCCATTAGGCTGGAGCTAGTCAATGAGGCATTCAACAGACTACCTACTCAGCGAGTAAATCAAGGCTTGTGACTGGCACAACGACATTTGCAGCCATCCGAGGTTATACCTACGAACAGCATAACTCATCAAGAGCACATTGTATTAAGACCCAAATTATTATCGTATATTCGTGTCTCGCTTTTGTTTTTTAAGAACATCAATGACTTTGATTATCCTGGGAGAGTTAGTTTCTCCTAGGAAAAACGTGTCGCAGTCCTAGAATCGAAGCGAATTCCTTGAAAACTTTATCACAAAATCATCATCGGAGGTCTATTTTTCTGTAAAAATATCCATTATTCGCGCAGCTTCTGTAATATTGTAGCATCAATATAACCGAGCTCATGTCACCAATCTTTCTTCATAAATCATAAAAACAAATGAAAACTAATCACCAATATTTGTTTTCAAAGTGTAACACAGCAAAGCAAAAACTAGATACCAACCATATAGCTTTTATTGGTTATGCAGGTTTTATCTATAAAGTATAGTTAGTGCCGATATCTCATAAACTATGAATGTACTGCGAAAAAAATTACTTCAGTAAATTGTAAACTGTAATACTACAGGAATCGCACGAATATTGGATATGTTTACGGAAAAATAAACACCTGATGCTGCTCTTATGATACAAATTTTCAGGAATTCGCTCCAGTTCTATGATCATGATGCATTTCTGCAAGGACACACTGAAGTTTGTACGAAAAAGAATCAACGCTTAGGAATATTTCATAAGAATCTGGTCTTAAAAGAGGATGCTATTAAGCAGGTAACATGATATGTTTTCCATGGTCATACCTGGCCTTCAAAATCGTGAAATGGGGAGTGAAGTAAGGTGTCTTTTGACAGGGAGGATCGAACAGACTCCACTTTTGCGTGAAATTTACAGTAGTCGCACCGAAATTCACGTCTTAAACTTCTCAATCCAGGACCCTAAGCAAAAATGCAAGCTCCCAAAGGCGATCGTTTCTGCCACAGAAAAATGACTGAATGCTAACCATGATCTCGATTTCCAAAGGACCGAAAAAGAACGTTTTTCCATTATTTTACTCAATATTGTGATCGTAGCCTTGCTATTTTCTCGCACATAGGTCCCAAATTCTTTCTACAAAAATTATCAGGAACAATTCTTTACAAAGCAAAATACTTTGCAAAGAATTATCAGATATTGAGTCTTCGCGGTCCGCTTCGCAAGAAACTCACTTGCCAAAAAACAACAAAAAATCAAATATCTTAGAGATCCACACAGCGGAGAGGGGTCTCCACAAAGTTTTAGCTTAGAGGAGCATAACGAAATCGCAATCGAATGTCTCCGATACTTTTGACCAGTACAAAAGGCTTTTTGTTTGAAGTCCGCAAGATATATTTTTTCAGATAGAAACTCACTTCTAATGGAGACCAAAACAACAACTGATGCTTTACGTGAACCACGTCGCAAGTTGGCACTTGTTATTGGTATAGGTGACTATGAAAAAATTAGAAAAATAAAGAATCCGCGAAATGATGCAATGGATATTTCGTCTGTACTGACATCTATTGGTTTTTCTGTCACTATAGAAAGGAATCTAGCATATCAGAATATGGCTAGTATTTGTAAGAATTTTACACAGCAAATAGAAGCAGAAGATATGGTGTTATTTTATTTCTCTGGACATGGTGCTGGATGGGAGGTACGTACTATGATAGTTTTTTTTATGTCCGATAACTTCTCAATTTTTCAACGTGCATTTCATTTTCGGAACTCCTAGGGTCAAAATTATCTGCTACCAAAAGATTTTGATGGCTCAAATAAAAAATTAAACAAAAGTGCGGTTAGAGTACAATCCATTCTTGAAGATATCAACGATCGGAAACCATTTGTGTCAATATTAATTTTGGAGTGCTCTAGAGAATATCGTGCACCTAATGGTCGTATGAATAAAAAGGTGCATGGCGTGGGTGAATCGTATTCTGCGTTACTTGGTTTACAGCAAATGACTCCTCAACCTGGAACAGTGATTGCATTTGCTTGTGCTTCTGGAACTATAGCTATTGAGAGAGAAGAAAAAGAACGAAATAGTTTATTTACAAAGCACCTTCTGCAACATATAACAACTCCTAATGAAGATATCCAAATAATATTGTGTAATGTTCAAAAGGCAGTGGCTGATGAAACACATTCGAAACAGATTCCATTTCTTAGTACTGCCTTACTAAAGAAGAAAATATATTTATCCAGTCAAGTAGAAGGTAAGTAGCCATTCGACGACTATTTTCGCCATTAAGGGAAAATATCGTTCAGCTGCAATAGAATATCAGGGATCGAAGATTAGGAATATTTTAGTTACTGGGAGTTTGAAGAATACGAGTAGTGCGTCACGATTTATTTGGAAAATTTGTAAATGATTATTCTTACTGTTGACTAGGTGTACCTTCAATAAATTGAATCAAATGATTCGAGTCTCGATTAGTTTTACTGGTGCTTCTGACATTAGAACTCTGTTTAAATCAGTAACTCACTAATATAAGTACTTCTAGAGATAAAGAAAGTTATACAAGTGTTCATGCTTTATATGACTGATTCGGCTAATACATATTTCGAAATAATTTAAAACATCACCACAAATCCTCTGAGATTATTCCAGAGGGTGGGGTGTGGGTGCGGATGTTCATGAGGTTAACAGAGACCCCGATACCCACATCCAGCCGTTATTTTTTCCGAACATGCTGGTCATTAATAGACGTCTGCGACAGAAAAAATACCATAGCTGAAGAATAAAGCCTTGTGGGTGGGTATGGAGATTGGTGAGTGGATAGACTGGTAGATGAGAGAAGTAGCGATCCGCACTGATATAGGCAGCTAATTTAACTCAGTCATGTACTCACTCACACCCACACCCCGTTTGTTTTCAATTCCTTTTGCATATAATGATGATTTCTTAGATGTTGAAATCAAAGATCCACCAAGTGCTTCTGCCAATACAGCCAATAACAAACCTAAATCATCCAAACCAAAGACAAGCGACGACAATGAAGTAATTGATCCGCCTCTTGTGACCCCTCGCTCAACTGTGAATGGCAAACAGGTCCAGACTTCTGAAGTGGAAAAGCCAACGGTAGCAGCTACACCGCACAAAACTCACGAGAAGCAAGACTACTCAATAACAAGCAACGTGAGTAAATGAATGCATGTACTGTCGAATATCTGTCTTGGTCGAATCCAACATGTTCATTTCTAGATGTCTACAGAACGAAACAACGCCACAAATAAAGGTATGCTTTGGAAGATGTGCTCATTATTGCACACTTCACACTACTGTATAAGAAAGAGGTGAAATTGTCTGCTGAAGAACATTGATTTCCATCGAAGATTGTTGAGCAATGGCGAACATTCAAGATAAAAGATGTGGAATAAATTTTCAAGTTCTCTTTACTTCTTACATTGCTATTTCGTCAACTTTGTTAGTAGTTCGTATTTTTACTTGAGCCACTGCTATTTAGCTTTCCTGACTTTCAAAATAACGTACTGTTGGTGTAGTTTGTTGAGGTTCATCATTTATCAGCCGATCTATACAAGTTTCATTGTGCTCGTTATTTTTGAATCAGGACGTGTTAATCTGAAATCCTATCATGACAGTAAAATGTATGGAACTCGAAGTATAATAGATCTCATCTTTTTCTGGATACAAACCGGTTTTGAGGGAATACACAGATAACGATCATGACCTCGAATAAAAACATATGATGGAAAGCTTTTCTAATGGATTAATGAGATAGCGAAAAATTCGCAACAGTATCTAGATTTGTCAGCATAAAATGTCATCTTTATGAGAAAAAAATCTATTTAGAATATGACTCGGGCTGTACGTGCTAGTCTTATTTTCAATCACACACATAGGAGATTGTATGACTGACAAATTTAAAGCTGGTAAGAATTTATAGACTCAAATTGTCGCATCTAATCAGAAAGGAGTGAAATTTGAATAGGTTTTCCAATGATAGACATTAGTGTAAAACGCTTTTCAGTGCCGTGTGTATTGTCAATTAGGCATGTAATTACACAAATCGATAGGGCGACTTTTAATGAATGCAATAATCATTTTATTCGATTTTTCTCTATTACAGTTATCTATGAGATGCCGCAGAATCATCCTGCATGTCAATTCCGATCAGGTGAGTTCTGAAATTGATTTATGAAGACACGTGAATGCAAGACTGTCACTTTTGACGAGTTTTATCATTATGCGAAACATGAAGAAAGTATCACGAATGTTTAGAGAAACCTTGGCTCGATCTTCAGTACCATCAAAACAGTACAGAATCGATCAAACAGCCGCATGAACTTGGAGAAAATATGGGAAATCCTACCAAGGATATTAAAGATGACATCTTGAATCGAATTCAAGGATCGATGATTGGAATGGCTTTGGGTGATGCTCTCGGTGCTCATGTGGAGTTTCGACCTCGAGAATTTCTCTTGCAGAATCCAGTGACCGACCTGGAAGGTGGAGGGACTTGGGGTCTGAAAAAGGGGCAGGTAAGGCATCGTCTGAGATGTTTGGTGACAAAAAGCTTTATTGATATACTATACTACAGATTGCTATTTTAGTTCACCGATGATACCTCAATGGCACTTTGTTTAGCAGCATCCTTGGTTTGTCGTCGCGACTTTGTTCCCTACGATCAGCTCGTCCGATACAAGTGGTGGTTTCAGCATGGCTATATGTCTTCAACTGGAAGGTGTTTTGATATCGGTGCGGCTACTAGTGATTCGCTGCATGAATTTGAACATCGCCAGCAAAAATTTGCTGCCAAACATAAAATTCCGATTGACCAATTAGACTTTCTTTCCGATGCTGGTCTCCTAACTAAGTTCAACGTTGAATGTAGTAGCTCGGGTGTTGCCGGAAATGGGGCTCTCATGCGTCTGGCTCCTGTACCACTCTTCTTCTACAGATATCCTGCTCATGCCGTCGAATACTCAGGATTTAGTGGCATGATTACTCATGGAGATAAAAAAGCCTACGATGCATGTCGTTATTACGGTGCGCTGATCGTAGCCACTCTACAAGGTGCTGAAAAAGAAGAATTACTGGATAACAAATTTTACGAAAAGCATTCTTCATGGTTTAATTCAGCTCCGCTGGTTTCAGAGATCATGAAGATCGCCCATGGATCTTATAAGCAAAATGGTGGATACGATGCTGGTATCCGAGGCAAAGGATACATTGTCAATGCTCTCGAGGCTGCTTTATGGGCCTTTTGGTCTGAAGAAACCTTTGAGGAAGGTGCTCTCGCTGCTGTCAATTTAGGTGATGATACCGACACAACCGCCGCAATTTACGGCCAATTAGCGGGCGCTTATTATGGTTATAGAGAGCTACCTGAAAAATGGCTCAAGTATGTATATGCTAAAAACTTCCTACTAGGTTTGAGTAGATGGATCGCCTACGAAGGAGAGATGTGGCAGCCAAATAAGCCGCCTCCCTCTACTATTTCACTTTTGTCTATGTCGTCTCAACAAAATACTGTTGTTATTCCATCTGATCATCAAGAATTGGATGCTAAGAAAAGGCCATTAACACCAAAGATATCAAATTTTTCATCACAGCAGACATTTCCAGGAGAAACTCGACTAGCAAGACCTTCTGATGGAACTGAACAACACACCGTTACACCATTCATTGCAACATCGAGACGCGCTCCAATGTCACAAGTAACTGAGAAAAACAAGCAATATGAGATTGTTAAGAGCGATTCTCAACCACCGTTTCGCAAAGTCATCAGTACAACAGCAAATTCTACATTCGGTTCAAACTCATTATTCACGCGACCGTATGTCGCAAAGAACGATAATCAGGGCTCGAACACGAAACCTTCGTCCAAGAATACTATAAAAAAAAATACTGGTTCACAGAAAAAAACATGAGTCATCTGAGAGATTGGGTTAATTCGGTTGAACACGATACATTTTATAGTAATCTATGTTCCTCACAATAACTTGAACTTGTATCCCAATTTTATGAAGAACATCTTTCGGTTTTTCGATATCGCACAAGAAAATAGAATACCCATTAAAGTACTGCTCGATAAAGCTTAAATATCGTTTCTTTGAAAGTAGTTTTGATTGTCTAACATTTACTCTTTGACAGTCGTTCATATTCAATGTGAATGAGCTGATTCTGCTTTACTATCGAAGTATGACTGTTCTGTTTTAGTTGCTCGGTTGTTGTCTACCGGTATGTGTGTGATCATTAGCCTCCGTTTTATTCTTATCCATACTCCACTTAGTCGGTTGTGCTGATGTTTCATCATCTCTCCTTCCACAATATTAGAGATTTTTTCGCGTGTCATCCATTTGAGATTGACTTTGAAAAACTATACAAAGTACTGTAATCTGGCTGCATTTCCAGTATTCAAATATTATTTATCATGTTATATCTTGAGAAATTAGATTTAATGTGTAGAAATCCGCTATCATGACCATGTTCATTTGTTGTTCCTTCGAACTTACTATTCAAACCATGGCAATTCAATGCTAGTTAAAATGGAATTTATTGTACAGTTCCAAAACAAAAAAAAAAGTTTCTGTTGACATGGTTTGATTCGATTGATAGGATATTTATCTCTTTTGACTTTTTTCTTCGCCGAAAAGAACTTAACACTTACGCCTGGAAAATAATCATTCAAGATTTAACACATTACATAAAGTAGTGAAAAAGTTACACTTGAAAAATGTCTTCATACAAAAAAAAGATTTTGCTAATCTATTAACTTGAGAGCTCAGTATTCTAATTTGCTTGCAGAGGTTAGATAATCAGAAGTACCGTAAGTCAAAGTAATAGGCTTGTTCATTAAAAAAGTACTCCGTCTTTTTACTTGCTCTAGAAAAAAAAAATTTCACTGGTAAGATTGACTAGCTTTGAAAACTTTTCAACGATCATGATATTCCTTAAAACAATTTGCAAAAATCTACGCTTGAACAGGTGTTATTTTTAGCTCTCATGTTTTTGTTAGACTTAAAAACGAGTGCGAACGCGTTTCTTTTTCATTAAAAGTACAAACAAGCCATTCGAGAATACGTTCATGTATTTCACCACATTTACGATTACAAAATTCTGTCGCAAGCTTCTCAATAACTTGCTTGCTAAAAATTCTGAAGGCTTCTGGGAAGATATATTGCAGGCACTGCAGCCAAATTCGAAGTATACTTGACATACTGCAGTGCTTCGTTGTACTGTATGAAAAGGTTTAAGTGTAAGTCAAACAAAAGGGAGTATTTGTATTTGAACTATACTTCGACTTTTACTGTATTGTCCACAACACATCTTTATTGAAGTTTGTAGAACTTTTAGCGAAGAATTTATTGAACAATTCTCAATAAAACTGTTTAAATGGGATGAAATAAGTAATATGTACAAACGGATTAAAAAAAGACTTCAGCAAGGAAAACATGAAAATTTTATCTTTACTAGCTGGTTGTTCTTAGCAGATTTACAGTTAAAGCCATTGGTCTGATATTTCTAACAAAAAATGCACGTTGATACATACAACATTTTGAGTAAATACATTTCTACGAAGTTCTTGTGTTTTACTATTACTAGATCTGAATTTCTTTTTGAGTGGAACTCAATATTTCTGAAAAGCATGTGTCTGCATAATTTATCTTTGTGAGCGTCATCTATCAGATAGTTTTGGAAATTGTAACGCAACGACTCGCAGCCTCACTCAAATGAAATTTTTAATTCATGAACAGAACAACAACAAATTTTAATATAAAAACATTTATCCAAGCTAAGCATTCGAACCAGATGCGATTTACATTGAATGGTAACGATTAGAGCTACAAGAAATTTTGGTTTTTCCAATATTCTCTGTTTTGTCACGATTAATTCATAAAAGAATATCTCGCTCTCAAGGTTCATTTGCCATACAAGTAAGAAAGAGAATTTCTCAGTGTATCTGATTATTATTATTACTAAAGTAAAAAAAAATTGGCTTTCATACAGAGACGTACAGTAAGTTCGTGGGATTATATTAGGTGCTATTATGCATAAGCGGTGTATTAATGTGCAAGAACAAAAATAGTGCATTAATATCGTATGAATCAGGATTATTTTAACCAATGTATTCACTTGAACTTCAATTATTTTTAATCAAGAAAACGTGAGTGAAATTTCTATTTTCGAAAACTTCTGTAAAATCATCTTTATCCCAATCTTATCGAATTATGATGAATGCTTTTCTTTTCAGATGCATCAATTTTAGCCAATAAAACAATTGCCGAAACGTAAGCATTTCGAACTATCTCTTCATATTCTACAGCATTTTCAAATATTTGCATAAGAAAAACACAATTGGAGATGAAACGTAAACTTGTTCTTTCTGAACATGATGATCATATTAAAATGAAAAACAATGACAGCAGCTAAAACCACTGACTTTGATTTGGTCTAAATAGATAATGTCGTAAGTAATCATTTCAAGAAAATAGTGATGAACACATTTTACTAGATTTCACATTGATTTTCGTTTCATGATTCAAATTTAAAATATGGTTCTCTAATTGAATATTCTCAAATATGCAAATGAGTAACAATGAAAATAGGTCAATTGTCAAACAAATCAAATTGAATAGTGACTACAGTAGTTCACATGAGTCGTTTTTTAATAGTACTCGTTAGACACGATATATATATGTTTTCTTACCAAGAAAACAAATGAAATCATTTTAGACGTCAATGAACGAATAATTCGACCATAGGCCACATGATCATCATCATCCTGCTTGTTTCTGGATTCTATTATTTCTCTCCTCGTTTTGTCTAAATAATTGATGGCTTTTCGCGTATTTTTTTTTCGGTCGTTCTTGTTGTATCTTACTTCATCAAAAAAAAAAGCATAATCTGTATGGCTCACTGATTTCAGGAGAAATCAAAGTATTCGATGTATGTTTTTCTTCATTAGACTGCGAAGAAGCATAAAAAGACGTAGGCAAAATAGCAAAGTTGCCAAAGATAGTGCTTTTGTGTGCACATCACACATCAGTATGCGTCATTCTTCATCGGCTTCAGCTCGTCCAAATATATCGAAGAGGAACCAGATCATTTTAATCGCAATTCTATTAGTTATTATCTTAATCAGTCTGCATGGCGAGGAACATCGGACATCTAGAAGAATATGAAAACGATGATATAAAGCGTCTAATCAATCTTCGCAAAGTCGTTCAAATATTGGCAAAAAATGTTGTCTTTCTAGCACTTGAAATTATCCAGTCGCTCAGTAATAACTAGAAACCATACCATTTCGAAACATTTCCGTATTCGTGTGCAAAGTATTTGTACGAAATCTTAATTTCTTAATTTATGCATGTATTCTACGATTGTCGATCACACTACATCATATTCAAACTTTAACAAGATGAACATAGCATTCGAATCATACATAATTCTTTCAAATATTCATGTATCCTGTGACTGATAGGTTTAGTACTAATTGTAAACATTGACTATACGATTCATCAAAGGCATGAATAGAAATTTTCTTTGAATAATTCATTTGTCTAATGATCTCTAGCTGTATTCTCAACAATTAAAATGAACCTGTTGATCATGAGAAAATATGAATGATGTCTTTGTCTTTTGTATTCTGCCTTTTCCAAGTAATCTGTTACTCAATTACCAAAAGGAAATACTACCTTACAAGTAAGCAAAGTATAGGAATAGACTTTTTTTAAATATTGTTGAACTAGTACATTTGCTGCATAACTCAAGATATTCGTATAACAGTGAACAGAATATGTCAATAAAATTCTGCTGGTATTGTTCATTTACACTCAGCTTTTTAATCATATTACTAGCTTGAAATACTCTCATCTATGTGAACACAAAATAAGAAATATGAATTTCAAATCTCGTTGAAAATGCACATATAACTTGTGATCCGTCATTGTATTATCAATGCGTTGTATTTGCTTCGAAATGAGCATAATATTTTGATAAAAACGTACTACGTAGTTTGCATCACACATTTACTGGATAGATTGCTTAACTAAGTTCTTCGAAACGAGCAGAATTTCTGGATTCAACATTGAGTTTTTCTATTCATCTATTGTTTGAACGTTGATTTTATCACGAAATCCCGCATATTTAATAAAAATCGTGTAACATATTAGAAAAAGTCATTTGCTCGTTTCACCTGTGATCAATAATTTTATAGTCAAGCCATTAACCGTTTCTTCAAAGTAAGAAAAATACTCGTATAAGTACTTCTAGAATGAACCGAGTTTGTTTGCTCTTCTGGGTCACATTCTAAGCACTATCTTATTGTCGGGTGATTAACCACTTTCTATTTCAAGGAAACAAAACCATATCCTGTTCAATATTCTTATCTAATATCATCTTCAACGATCAACAACAGTTCTTAACATTTCTCATCTTAATTTCACGTGCGTTTATTAATTACTTTTCTCTAATAAATATGTGTAATATTTTTTTGTCGGATTCAAAATAAATGCTATGTTTGGAATCAGCATTAAATATTGAGTCTTACATCCTGTGCAAAATAACTAGAGAAGAGTTCAAGTGTTATTTCTGATGGATTATAATTTTCAGTAAACCACATGGCGTCAGACTCACTTTTCAGCGCGGCCCACACCCACATTCTATTGCTAAAATCGAAAGAAACACAGATTTGATGATCAGTATAATGTTGTAAAAAAAGCAAAGTTGTTTGTAAGATCAATCATTAGTGGCCTTTTTTTTGTGCGCAGAACTTTTCTTGCCAAAGAGATGTGAAATGCGCCATTTGTTTTCTGAAGACTTTTTCTTGGACTTCTTTTTATGTGAGACTTGCTCGTCAACCTCATCCGGCGTATTTTCAAGTAGTTCTTCTATCATCGTCAACACACGTTGATTCGCACGACCTTCC